TGTGTGTGTGTGTGTGTGTGTGTGTGTGTGTGTGTGTGTGTGTGTGTTGGGGGTGTGACGACACAGGCTGGCCTCTAACTTGCTGTTTCCCTGTTACAGCAGCCTGTCAAATGCTGGGATCCCAGGCGTGCGTCACTGTGCCCAGCTTTCCCCTGGCATTTAGAGTTTAGCTGTCCTGGTGGGCTCACTAGCCTCAGGCATTTGGCAGATATAGAAACTGAGATGAGAATAACCCTGCTCAGGTCTCATGGGGTTGGCATGCCGAGAGAGCCATTCATATTCAGCTCCAGGAGGCCAGGAAGCAGGGCTGAAGAAGCCAGCTGAGGCTGGGCTTCGTAGGGGAGAGAAGGAAGCCTTGTCCCAGGCTTAGCTTTTCCTTTCCTTCCTCTCCATATTGACTTTAGGCCTTTCTCTACCCCAGCAAGCTCAATGAGGGCCCAGAAATGTGGCAAGCCCTCTGCCTGCACATGCAGCAGCCTGGTCAGCCCATCAGCCCATCAGCCCATGGCCTCTGGTGTGGGCCCTGGGCTCTGTTCATTCACGTTGATTGGCTATGTAGCCTGGGGTCATTTTCTTTGCTTTTCTGAGTCCCTGCCGTCCTGCCCTCTAGGGCCCTCAGAAATGCTGCGGAGAGCTACCCATGGTCCTTTGCTGGTGGTCCTGGGATGGCACCACCACTTGCAGCTTCTCAGAAGCCAGGTGCCCCCTCTCCTCCACGCCTTGTTCACCAGCAGTGGTAGCTCCTGTGCAGAGACTATGGAAACACATAACATGGGCCCTGACACTGCGGCTGACGTAGAGAAGATGCTGACACAAAAGGTAGCAGTTCATTTTTCTACCCTTCCACACAACTCCCTCCCACCCCCCATGACCTTGCAAAGTGCAGTGCCAGCACAGTGTAGCTAGAAGTAATATCCAGATCCTTGCTTGGGCCCTGGGTGAAGACTGAAGTTATAGCCTGGTGCTGTAGACCAGCACAGGAAGCCCGAGGAACAGCCCACTGGCTCCTACCCTCCAGTCCCTCTTTTGGGATTGGAAACCACAATACCCCGTTTTGCCTGGTCTGCTGGGAGCCCCCTTTCCTCCCTTACCTGGTTTCTTAACTTGATTTGTTTGCATTGAGAACACATTCTTGTTCTCAATGTGTTGGGGGTGTGTGTGTGGAGGGGTGTGTACACACGCACTCCTCAGATCCTTTTGGGAAAGATGGTGAGGGTATACGTGAAGGGAGCTTTGGAGTGTTGACAGATGTCCTTGGCTTGCTGATGAGTCCAGTGTCCCGGAGGCTGTCCTGAATGCACTGGGCTCTCCGAGAGGCTGGGGTCATGGCCTCCTTTTTGAGGACAGCGTCCAGTTTAAGCAACACCGTTACATGGCTCAGTGAAGCCGGCTTCAGACAATGAGGCCTTTCATGGGGACTGGCTGGTGGCTCCCAGGGTGGGCCAAAGGGCCCTCTTCCCACCTCCTTGTGGGATGTCCTTCCAGCTCCCCGTGGGGCCTAGGGAGAGACGGGAGCGGGGAGGGAGGCACTCTAACCGTAGTCTGTGCCTGGGATTGAAGCACTGCCATGTGGTCCATAGATTGCTGCTGTTTCAGATTCTACCAGCATTCCCCCTGGAGGCTGACGATAACCTCACTGCCCCTCTTCCCCTGTTGCCCTACCAAGCTCATGGTAGAAAGGACAGCGGCTGACTCGGTTTCATGATGCTAAACCTAAGTGCTCTATAAAGGTTTACCACGGATGGGCGGGTGTCAGGAACGTTACATACCTGATCCTCTTTAATGTCACCTCTTTGATAACCCTTGGAAGCAGGTGTTATGACCCTATTTCTTCTGTTGTTGTTTTGAGACAGGGTCTCTCTGTGTAGCCTTGATTATCCTGGAGCTTACTCTATAGACAAGGCTGGCCTCGAACTCACAGAGATTCGCCTGCCTCTGCCTCCCAGTACTAGGATTAAAGGCATGTGCCACCAGGTCTGGCTTATGATCCTATTTCTATGGGTGAGGAAATTGAGGCCTTTACAGCTTGCCTGAGATTGTACAGATTCATGATGTAAATATACTGGAACCGATGCCAGGTGACCCCAACCCCTGTTTCATAATGAGCCGCCTCAAGTGCTCCCAAGCCTGTATTTCCCTCCAGGCTCCCACATCTGTCTTGCCCTAGGATTGCTGCTTGAGAATGGGCCCCACCCTCTGTGATCCCCACCCTCACTAACCACTGTAGGCCATTCCTTTCTGCAGGGATTGAAAGGGACCCCCTTGGCTTAGCCTTCAGACCCCTGACAGGACCCCACTCCTGTCTTCACCCCTGCAGCTGTGCCCAGCATTCTCCTACCTGTCTCCACTTCTGTCCCCTGCAGCCTCATCACACCTCAGACCTTCCTTCACCCTCTAGGTCTCAGCTTGAGGTCCGTTCCGTCATCAGTCTTCCCCTTTCTCCCTTCCAAAGGTGGCTGGTTGGCACCAGCTCTGTGCCCAGCCTGGGTTTCTCTCCTTGTCCCGATGGGTAGCATTGCTTGCTCAGTGCTGTGAGGGAGATGATGGGAGAAAGGGATGGAGAAAAGGCAGGCCCGGTGAAGGGTTGTGACAGTAGGGGAACAGAGCTGGAGTGAGAAGGCCCTCTGTGGATCCCGTGTCATCTGGAGCTGTGAGAACAGGTGCTGGACTGGGCACTTGCCATGGCTGCATCTTGATCCTGACAGCAGTGGAGAGGCATCTGCTAGCCTTGAGCAAGGAACGTGCCGGGTGAGGACTCTACCTCAGGAAGGGCGGAGTGCCACAAGAAGGCCTGTGGCAGGGGCATTCTGAGGACCTGGTTAGGTCTCCCTGGGAGGCAAGTGGCTGTGGCTGTGAGAATAGCCAGTAGAGTGTGCAGGCCTGAGGCCAGGCCGTAGGTGCTAGAACTACAATTAGAAAGGCAGGGGCCAGAGTGGGCAGACAGTTGGCTGTAGACTGAGCGTCTGAGGGGCTGGGATCTCCGGGACTTGGCTGCTAGGACCCTGAAGGAAAAGGCGGGGAAGCTGTTGTCAGGGTGCTTAGCAGCAACTTTGGCTCATGAGGGTTTCTATTGGCTGCCTATGGAAGTCTGACTGGGCAGCATTTCCCAGTGTAGGTCTGAGAGACAGTGTCTCGTCTCTCACTGTATGGTGTTTGGGCAAAGCGGTCTCTGCTCTGACCCGATAGGTCTGTGATGTGACACAGGTTAGGAGGAGGAAAACCAACCCCAGCATGGTCAGCTGGGGCCTAGGTCAGGATTTAAGTCTGGCCAGGTTTGGGGTGGCCCGGGGCCAGTGCCTGGCATAACTGCAATCTGCAAAGGCCTGTCTCTGACCTCCACATGCCCGCCCTCCCTGTCAGCTGTCTTGGCCCTGCCTGGCAGGCCCTGACTTCATCGCAGGCTTCTGTTCTCTTGGGAGGAGTGGCCATGCTCCAGAGGCCCCATTGGCTATGGCTTTCCTGGCCGCACACATCCCTGCCCTCCTGCTGGCCTCCTGCCCATCTTGGCTGTTGGGGGTGAACAGACTGCCTTGGAGCTCAAGGAGAGAGTGGAGACACGTAATAGAAATTGGAGGTCCTGACGCTGCTGCCTGGGTATCAGCCTGAGGCCCTGCACCCCTCCTTTGCAGAGCGGGGGGACAGAAGCAAGGTCCTCGGCTTACTTCAGGCAGGGTGTTAGCCCTGCTCACCCTAGCGTGCTCTTTCAGTTTCAAAGGGTGACTGATGGCCCCAAGGCTTTCTGGAAGCTAGATAGGTCAGAATCCAGAACTTAGGCTAGAACCCAGAATCTTGGATCTAGGGCTTGGCTTAGGGAAGGAGGAGCCTGTCTTTGAAATCGCATAGTGTCCGAGGGGCAGGATGGGATTCGTCTATTTCTGTTTGTCTCTCTGATGAAGTCCTCCTGTGTGTAGGCACAACTCATCTTGTATCCTTGGTGTTTGACCTAGGACTCAGCGTGCAGAGAGGAGATACTTGTCAAATGAACGAACGCTTGAATAAATGAATGAACAAAATAGCCATGGAGTCGTAAGTCCTGTCTTTAGACATATGGAGTCTACAAGGAAGGCCGTATTTCAGCACAGAAGACAGGAGGCTGTCAGGGTTGAAGCAGAGAAGCAGGAAGGGGCTGCTGATTACTGGCCTGGGCTCAGATATCCTCAGTTTCGTCATCTGTAAGAGGGGCCATGATTCCTGACCCCTGTTTTCCTGGTGAGCACCCTGTGGGGCTAAGGATGTGGTAATTCAGGATGCCCTGTAGATCTTTACTGTGTTCATGACCACCAGCAGGAACCCCCCACATGTGCTTTTATCATTTTACCCACCTACCTTCTGCATGGCCTCCTGAATTTCCTCAGCTCTCTCAGGACCGCTGTCTAAAAACAGCAGTTCTCAGCCTCTGGGTTGTGACTCCTTGGGGGGGTCGAACCCTTTCACAGGTTTGCATATCAGATATCTACATTACGATTCGTAACAGTAGCAACGTTACAGTTACGGAGTAGCAACGGAATAATTATGTGCAGGGTCACCACAGCATGAGGAAGTGTATTAAAGGGTCGCAGCATTAGGGAGGTTGAGAGCCACTGGTCTAGAATGTTCAGAGAGTTCCTCACCAAGAGAATGGTGTGGGAAAGCAGAGCCTACCTTCCTCCTCTCCGTGCAACCACACCCGGAAAGCTAGCCACCTGCAAAAACATCCGTGCAGACCCCCAGCGCACAGCCAGGCTGGAGATGCCTTTGGCAGTGGTTTCCATGGCAACAAGACCTGCTGGTTTGAGTGTAGCAGCCTTCAGGCTGCCTTTGAAAGCCTGAAAGATGGACAGCTGTCATCGACCACCACCCAGGCCAAGAGTTCCTAGGTCTGCTGCCCTCCTCTCCATTTGTGGCCCAGCACTGTGCTTGGCACCCAACGACTCTTCTTCTTTTTTTCTTTCCCTTCCCTTCCTTCCTTCCTTCCTTCCTTCCTTCCTTCCTTCCTTCCTTCCTTTCTCTTTCTCTCTCTCTCTCTTTCTCTCTCTCTCTCTCTCTTTCTTTCTTTTCTTGACACGGAGGTTTTTCTGTGTAGCCCTGACTGTCCTGTTTCTCACTCTGTAGACCAGGCTGGCCTTGAACTCACAGAGATCTGCGTGCCTCTGCCTCCTGCACCACCACACTGGGCTTTTTGTTTATTTGTTTGTTTATATGGTCGGTGTGAGTGTATGTGTGTGTGCAGGAGTATGCACAGAGAGGCTAAAAGGACATCAGGAGTCTTCAGATATCACTTCCCATCTATTCCTTTGAGGCAGACTTTCTCTCTGCCAAATCTGTTCAGATTTTCTTCGCTAGGCTAGAAGCCAGGCAAGGTGAGAGTCCATGACTGTTATGACAGGGAACATGGCAGCAGCCACGCAAGCATGGCACTGGAGCAGTAGCTGAGACACAACCGTGAGGCAGAGAGCTAAGAGGGAAAGGTGTGGGCTTTGGAAATTTCAAAGCTGGACCTAGCGGCACACCTCCTTAACAAGGCTGCACTTCCTGATCCTTCCCGAACAGTTCCTTAAACTGAGGACCAAACATTCACGCATAGAAGCCTATGGTGGGGGGCATTCTCATTCAAACCACCACACTCAGCTTGTTATGTGGATGCTGGGATCTGAACTCGGGTCCTCGGGACTTTGCAGCAAGTATTCTTAAAGAGCTAAGCTATCTCTCTAGCCCCTTTTGCAGGAGGGAAAGTCAAGAAAGTCAAGAACCAAATATACATGCTCAGTCCTGATGGCAACTTAATGATCTGGGTTGGGTGGGGGTCGGGGGCTCCCCTTATCTGAGGAATAGGGAAGGGAGGATGGGGGAAGAGGGAAGGAGGGTAGGACACAGGAGGAAATGAGGGAGGGGGCTATAATCAGGATGTAAAGTGAATAAATAAATTAATTAAAAACAAAGAACCAAATATGGGCTGCGCATCGAGGTCCTGTTTAAAATGAATAAGTCAGTCTAAAGGAAGACATTAAAAGTTGCCCACCAGGGCTGGAGAGATGGCTCAGAAGTTAAGAACACGGGCTGCTCTTCCAAAGGTCCTGAGTTCAATTCCCAGCAATCACATGGTGGCTCACAACCATCTATAGTGAGATCTCGTGCCCTCTTCTGGTGCACAGGCAGACATGCAGGCAGAATGCTGTATAAATAATAAATTAGCAAGGAGGGAGAGACTCCCCTAAAAGGGAGCTGACACAGGCGGGAACCCTGAGATCCTGGGATGGATGTGGCGTCCATTTTGATGAGGCTGGTGGGAGGTGGTCCAAGCTCCTCCTCCCGCTCTGTACTTGAGGTGTCAGGGTTAGGCAGGGCAGAGATGTGTGGAATGCTGACCAGGCTGTCATCTCCTATCCCCTGTGCCCAGGGCTTCGCCTCTATGTTCTCTGGTCGCACATCCCGGAAGTCGATCTCACACCCAGAGTCTGGAGGCGCCTCTGCCATGGCAGAGGATGAGGAGTACCGGAACCCCACGGAGGTGCAGATGAGCCAGCTGGTGCTGCCCTGCCACACGAACCACCGTGGGGAACTGAGCGTTGGACAGCTGCTCAAATGGATCGACACCACAGCCTGCCTGTCAGGTGAGGCGTGCTCCAGGCTCTTCGCCGTCGAATCTCCACCGCTTGTCCTGGAGAACCAGGCCAGGGGCCTCAGTTTTTGGGGATCTCTTCCTCTCTCAAGAGTACCTCGCTTGTTCCCCTTCTGGGTGCGGTTCCTGCAGGTCTGGTCCCCTGCCTCAGATGCCCTGTTCATCTGCTCGTTGTCAGGGTGGTCTGTCCCTCTCCCCCAGTTTCCCCAGCTCAGAGTGTTGGTACCATGCAGCTGTCTCTCTCTGCCCCGCCTGCATCCTTAACCACAGCTATTTCCTAACTGGCTGGTACAGGCCAGGCACAGAGACTCATTATGGGTGCTCATGGTCCTCTCCGCGGTAGGATTTTGTAATGTTTGTGTTCTCCAGCCTCCAGAGTCTAAACACCAGCAGGGTTTGAGAGGTCCTGAGCCAGCTGAGTGGTCAGGGAAATGGCTCCAGGGGGAACAAAGGGCTGAAGCAGAAGTGGGAATAGAGGGGTAGGCATTCCTTGCGAAGAGGCCCCTGGGAGATATTTTTGGTCAGAGGCCCGTGAGACATGCTAACATCTGGCTTTCCTCTCTCGAGCCAGCGGAGAGGCATGCCGGCTGCCCCTGTGTCACGGCTTCCATGGATGACATCTACTTTGACCATACCATTAGGTAAGAGGCCCTCTGGCTTTATTTCCCTTTTGTTGTCATTCCTCCCCGCCTCCTGCTCAGGGCCTGTATCCCTATCTCCCTACTTACCATGCTGTGTGGCACTTGGAGCTGGCTCAACTGACTAACAGCTTTGGAAAGTGGAACCGTGATGTTTGGGGGTGGAAGATCTTTCTACAGCTGTCAGGGAGAGTGGTGTGTTAGGAGGGGCCTATTGCTAGGTGCTGTCAGGTGGGCTTTCCTGTCAGGGTGGGGCTAAAGGTTTGCAGTTGGAGCAACTCCTGTGGTGGAGTACAGAGGCCTAAGGCCAGGCTGTGGAAATGTGCAGAGCTTGGGGGCCCATGTGTCATGTGGTGCCGTGTGACTCTGGGTAAGTCAGAGCCTCTCTCTGGGCCTTGTTTTCCTTACCTGTAAAACGAAAGGATTTGAGTTCAGTCAGGAAATCGTTCTTCTGGCTCAGACATTTTTTCATGGGTCCTTGGTCAACCGGACTATAGGGAGGCCCCTGGCCTTGCAAGGCACGGGGACTCAGCCTGTGCTAGAAGAGTGAGCCAGCCACCCTTGGATCGCACCCCTCCAGCTCTTACTCAGGGAATCCTTTCATTTTCAGTGGCTGTCCAGGTTAGAAAACTTCTCCTTACCTTACATGCTTTACCACCGAGCCTTCTCAGGCTGGGAAACAAGGAGGCTGCTGAGCCCTGGGCCCAGGCCAGGCCTCACATAGAGCTCTTGCCACCCGCCCACTCCTCGATGTGCCAGCCATACACAGACCATCAGTGCCAAGGGCTTATTCAGGGCTGGCCGGTGCCCTATGTGACAATAAGGAGGATGTCTGGCCAGTCCCTGGACTCAGCTGTCAATCGCTTGTTCACTCTGTACTCTGGATTAGTTAATGTGCTGGCTAGTTTTATGTCAGCTTGACCCAAGCCGTCATTTGGGAAGAAGGGACCTCGATTGAGAAAATGCGTCTGTCAGATTGGCCTAAGGGCAAGCCTGTGGGTCATTTTCTTGATAAATGATTGATGTGGGAGGGCCCAGCCCCCTGCGTGTTATGGCCCTCTGGGCTGGTGGTCCTCGGTTCTGTAAGAGAGCGGGCTGAGCAAGCTATGGGGAGCAAGCCAGTAAGCAGCACCCCTCCACGGCCTCTGCATCAGCCCCTGCCTCCAGGTTCCTGCCCCAAGTTTTTGCCCCGATTGTCTTAGATGATGGACTGTGATATGGGAGCGTGAGTGAAATCAACTGTTTACTTCCCAAATTGCTTTTGGTCATGGTGTTTCATCACTGCAATAGAAAACCTAGTTAAGATCAGAGAGCTGGGCATGGTGGTACACACCTTTAATCCCAGCATTCAGGGAGGCAGAGGCAGGTGGATTGCTGAGTTCGAGGCCAGCCTTGTCTACAAAGACAGGACAGCCAGGACTCCACAGAGAAACCTTGTCTTGAAAAACAACACAAAACAAAAAACATAGTTGAGAGCCTTAACTAGTCCAGAAAGGATTGGTGTCATGCTAGGTCTGGGGACACAAACTGCCGGGACACAGTCCTTATACCCACTACCCAGTCTGCAGAGGAACAGATAGAGAAATGTCATTTGCATTTGCGGTGGGAAGTTGGGGGTTGAAGTGTGTGGCTCAGTGGCAGAGCATGTGATCAGCATGGAGAGCCCTGGGTTCCAGTCCCACCACCACCACCACCACAGAAAATCGGAAGTCCCCCAGTGACAGTGGGCTCTGTTGGGTTTCCCTTTTATCTCCCTTCCCCTCAGTTCTGGGAATCCAACCCAGCTAGGATCAGTTTGATAAACAGTTTCAGCTTGACAAAAGGCTCTTATTAATGCCTTACATTTATTTTTTTTCAATGTATTGCTTAGAACGTCCTTTGAATTTGTTAACATATTTAACAATGAAGGCTACAGTATGAGGTCTTTGTTGTTGGTATCTTCCTTTTACAGAGGGGGAAACTGAGGCACAGAGAACTGAGGAAACCTGTTCAGGTCACACAGCAGGGGGAGGACCCAGAGTTGACTATCAGGTGGCTGTCTGGCCCAAGGGTCTTTGCTTTTTTATCCGTGCACTCTGGAGGTTGGGGGTGGCAGGGGAGGGCATCGAGGGAACTTCCTGGAGTGGCCTGAGCTGGTTGGGGGGGAGGGACTGTGAGCCTTGTGATTTGGAGGCTGTGATACCGTGTGTGGGTCTGCTGTGGTCCCTGCTGCTGATTTGAGCTCTTCTTGTTGGGCAGCACGGAGAGGGTAGGGTGCATATGTGGGCCAGAAGGTGACAATGAGTCTGGGCAGAGGGGTACAGAGAAGGGCACACTGTAGAGAGCCCGGGGCATGCTGGTGGCCAGGATAGGCCTGGCAGCTCCTGAGGACAGTTTCAGGTTTCCTTTTGTTTGTTTTAGTTTTTGCCATTGGAAAATATTGCAAGCCAGGCATGGTGGTGCACAGCTGTAGTCTTAGCACCTGGGAGACTGAGACAGGGGCATTGCTGTGAGTGTGTTTCAAAACCAGCTTGGTTTATATAACATAATAAAACTCTGTCTCAAAAATAACCTCCAGGGCTGGAGAGATGGCTCAGAGGTTAAGAACACTGGCTGTTCTTCCAAAGGTCCTGAGTTCAATTCCCAGCAACCACATGGTGGCTCACAACCATTTATAATGAGATCTGGTGCCCTCTTCTGACCTGCAGACTTACATCCAGCAGAACCCTGTATACAAAATTAAAAAAATCTTTAAAAACAAAAAACAAACAAACAAACAAACAAACCCAAAACCTCCAAACAGCCAGCCCATGAGATCATGTCAGAGAAGGTCCCTGTTCCTATTATTGGGGAACCCTCTTGGACACAGAGCTGCCATGGGCTACATCTGTGCAGGGGTTCTAGGTTATCTCCATGCATGGTCCTTGGTTGGAGTATCAGTCTCAGCAAAGACCCTGTGTCCATGTTTTTTTGGTTCTGTTGCTCTCCTGGTGGAGCTCCTGTCCCCTCGGTCTTTCTATCTTCCCCTTCTTTCATAAGACTCTGCCCAGAGTTTGGCTATGAATCTCAGCATCTGCTTTGATACAGTGCTGGGTAGAGTCTTTCAGAGGCCCTCTGTGGTAGGCTCCTGTGCTGTTCCCTGTTTTCTCCCTCTTCCAATGTCCACAGAGGAAGACAAAGAAGCCAGTCCTGATGAGACCTGAAAGACTAGGGTCCAATGGAAGGGGAGGAGAACCTCCCCTATCAGTGGAGTGGGGGAGGGGCATAGGAGAAGAAGACCGAGGGAGGGTGGGATTGGAAGGGGATGAGGAGAGGCTACAGCTGGGATACAAAGTGAATAAACTGTAATTAATAAAATAAAATAAAAAATTAAAAAAATAACCTCCAAATAAACACACTAACTTAATTAAATAAATGAAAACATTTCAAGAGACTTCCATGCTTGGAAACCACTGCTCAGGAGCGGAGGCAGGAGCACCGGGATTTCAAGGTTAGCCTGGGGTACATAGTGAGACCCTGTCTCAAACAACAGAAAACAAAGCGAAATATTTCCAAACGTATCTGTAAGGACTAGGAACTCATTTTAAATGACTTCCACATGATTATCCCACCTGAAAAATGGCCACACCGACTTGTGGGTTTGTCTCGCCAGCTGGTCAATGTCCTTGACCCTTAACCTCTCACCCCTAATCAGCTCTCTTGAGTGGAACTGTTCTCCCTTTCTTTCTTTCTCTCTCTCTCTTCCTCATCTCTTCCTCAGAGTTTCTGTGTTGCGGATACCTGGTCATTTGCTGACTTGAGACCCCATCATTTGAGTTCTGCTGTGAGCCCTATCCTGGCTTAATGCAACACGTCCCACTGTTTCCCCAAGGACAAATGGGTCCTAGGGAAGGGCTGGCCGTATTGGTTCATTTAAGGGGCCACCTCTGTGCATTGTGAAGACTGTGTGGAAGGTGTTGGGGAGCCAGAGGCCCACAGGGGGCTCTCCCGGGGAGATGGGCAGGGCCAGGCTGAGTCCTGGGGATAGAGGACAGGCAGGAAGCCTTGATGAGAAGCTCCTGGGTCCAGATGGGTGTCGGGGAGGTGGTAGGTGTGTGTCAGCGCCACAGCTATCAGTGAGTACTTGTCAGGGGCTCAGGGGTGCTAGGGAAGCACTCTGTCCTGAGTCACTCCCCGCCCTCTGCTTATAAAATATTGTTTTTATTATTTTAAATCATTTGCCTGAGCTGGGTGTGGTGGTGCACACCTTTGATCCCAGTACTCTGGAGACAGAGGCAGGTGGATCTCCGTCAGTTCGAGGCCAGCCTGGTCTACAAAGCGAGTTCCAGGATAGCCAGCACTACAGAGAGATACCCTGTCTCAAAAACCAGCAACAACAAAGTAATTATTTGTCTCTGTGTGTGTGTGTGTGCGTGTGCATCTGTGTGTGTATGTGAGTGTGTATATGTGTGTGTGAATGTGTGTGTTAAGTACAGATGTCTGTGGAGTCCAGAGGCATTAGATTTCTGCAGCTGAGTCTATAGGCTCACGTGTATAATCTATAGGTGAGCCACTGAGCATGGGTGCTGGGAACTGAACTCAGATCCTTTACAAGGGCAGTAAGTGCTCTTAACCACTGAGCCATCTCTCCAGGCACCCCACCCCCGGCCCCTTTTAGCACCACAGAAAGATAAGTTCATTTAAAAACAGCAGTCCCCTATCCCCTGTGAGTAATCTATTCCCAGATCCCTGATGGGTGTCAGGAACCCTGGCTGGCACCAATCCCCACACATACCATGAATGTCCCTTATAGGTCCACAGCCATGCTAAGGCTTAGTTCAAAGTTAGGTGCAGCCGGGGTTTAACAGAAAAAGGCTAAGCCAGGCCTGGTGGCACAAGCCTGTCATTTCAGCTTCTCCAGAGCCTATGGTAGGAGGACCAGCATGAGCCACAGGGTGAATTCAAGGTCAGCCTGGCCGACTTAGTGAGACCCTGTCTCAAAGTTAAAATAAAAAGAGAGCCGGGGATTCAGTTTAGTGGTAGAGCTTTTTGCCTAAGGCCAATCTCCAGGACTGAGGTGGAGGAGGGGACGCTTATAATAAAATTGATCAATTATGACAACATTTTTAATAATAAACATTACAGTCTTTGAAGTTGTCCTTCTCTTGCAATCCTAACAATATACTTTCATAAGCATTAAAACCTTTAAACTTTTTACTAATATTATGTGTGTGGGTGCTTTGCCCGCCTGTACGTCTGTGCGTTGCATGTGTGCAGGGTCCACGGAGGCCAGAAGAGGGCGTCAGGTCCCCTGGAACTGGAGTTACAGGTGGCTGTAATGCTCTTAACCACCGAGCCATCTCTCCAGCCCTCTTTTCTAACTTTCGATCACAAACACTTCAGCACACATGGAGAGGTGGGACGTGTCACTGGTGCTAGGTGACGTCACTGGTGCTATAGCTCCCCCTTGGCTGATGTCCTCTGTCTGCAAATGGATAAGCGCATATAAAAACGCATCTTACGGACCACACTGCTCTGCCCGAGTGCCAGCATGGCTGACAACATTAACAGAGACGAAGTGTCCAGCACTGTGAGCAGAAGCCCCTCATCGAGCCCCTGCACTGACTGGTCAGGGTTCAGCTACCCCGGCTCTCACTGGGCCTCAGAGGTATAGGCAGTCCCATGCGCTCGTTCCCAGAGCTGTACGTACAAGGAAACAGCTTCAGAGAGGTGAGGTGACGTGCCCCAGGTCACCAACTTATGGTGTGACAGTTCATGCAGAGCATGACAGATCTAGTCTCCTGTGGCCAGGCTATGGCCTTCCTTGTAACTGGCATGCCCCTTGGAAGCTGTGGGCATAAGCATGTTCATGAGCCACGGTGAGATGAGGTAAAAGGACATCCTGAGGTCACAGTGATTGAACTGGGGCAGTTCTAGTCTTTTGCCCTCCTTACCCCGACAGCCCATCAGCTGGGCACGCTCTGCTGTGCCCAGTTAGGCACAGGGCAAGCTAGGTGGCTCCCAGGAGACTTCCATGGACGCAGAAAACATTCCCAGAAGGACAGGCTGCAGCTGGGAAGAACCAGGCTGCTTCAGTGTGTCTAGAATCCTGGCGCTTCAGCAAGTTACTTGGGTGACCTTGTTAGCTGGGTGACCTTGGACAAATGGCTTAGCCTCTCTGATGCCCAGCCCTTTCCAAACCCGGCTCCAAGTTTGGTGTAATGCACACTTAGCACCTTCAAGTGTTCCATTTCCCTGCCCATTCCTCTCTCCAGCCATTATCACTTGGCAAGCAGCTGTGGAGGTCTCGCCCTGCCTCATGTGTTTGGCGAGCAAAACATATGCTCCCCGGGCTGGGCTGTGACTCACAGTAGAGCATGTGGCTGCCTGGCACAGGCCCTGGCCTTTATGAACCTTGGAAATGAAACAAGAAGAGAGAGAAGCCAGCGGCTTTGGCCCAGTGCAGTTTAACGGGTGGGGTGGGCAGAGGAGGAAGGAGTTTAGGAGGGCTGCCCCAGGGAGGAAACTATGGAGCAAAAAGAGGTCATGGAGCTCCTAGAGAGTGGGGCAGGAGGGAGAGAGAAACGTAGGGAAGCCATGGAATGCATGCTCATGTCTGCTGGCCTGCTGACATTGCAGATGTGACTATGTTCTGGGAGGCGCCGGGTGTCTGAGGCCCCTGTCCTCTCCCGTGGTCCCCCTGGAAGGCTCACCTCCTGCTTTCTTCTCCTCAGTGTCGGCCAAGTGGTGAATATCAAGGCCAAGGTGAACCGGGCCTTCAACTCCAGTATGGAGGTGTGTGTGGCTGGCCCTGCCTGGGGTGGGGGGTGTGTGGGATGGCCCGGGGGGGGGGGGGATGGCCCTCTCTGTCTTTTAAGGTCCAAACCCAAGCCCCTTTACACTGTAGGACCCTGACTAGAGTTCCAAAATGTCTGGCTGGGACAGGAGGACCTAAGACCTTCCTTGCTAACATCCCATAGCACAGGGGACAATATGGAGGCCAGGGAGAGGACGGAGCTTGCTCAGGGCGTCTCTCCTGGCCAGGCACATTCAGTAGCAGATGGTGAAGGCAGAGGATGGCAGTGCTGTGTCTGGCCATGGTGCTGCAAAGTGGGGAGACTGGGCTTTTGCCCATTAGCTCACCTCGATGGCCTCTGTGTCCACTTCTGTACAGTGGGCTCAGGGCTTCTGCACTCGGCCCTAAAGGTTCAGTGGCAGGACGGCTCAATGGTATGTAGGTTTTGTGAGCAACCAGGGACTTGGTTTCTTCTGAGCCCAGCGAGCCATTGATGCCTGAGCACCACAGAGGCTGGGGTAACTAATGGGGTCTTGACGATGCTTCTGGGCAGGATTATATTCTCCTATGCACCCCTCCACGGATCTGTCCTTTGAGAACGAACAGTGGACAGGGGCACGTTTTAACCCTTTCAGTAATCCCTTGAGGGCAGCTGTGGCCATCCTCCTTCTATGGATGAGGAAATGGAGGCAGATGGGGGAAGTGAATTACCCAGGGTTTTTCTGGGGAACTAGAGGTGGAGTCAGACCCAAGCCTTGGTCCCTGGTGTTCCTCCCCTGGTGGGTGACGCAGGAGCTCCACAGACCCAGCCTGGTGGCTCTTCAGCCTCACCAAGCTGCAGGCCTTCAGCAGCCTGCTTCCCTTCCTCCCTCCTCCCACGTCCCTCTCCAGGTGGGCATCCAGGTGGTCTCTGAGGACCTGTGTACTGAGGAGCAATGGAGTGTGTGCAAAGCCTTGGCCACCTTTGTGGCCCACCGAGAGCTCTCCAAGGTGGGCGGCTGTCCCAGCTGTTCTGTCGTCGTACCCACCATGCCCCAAGTAGGGCCCTCTGTGACCTCACCCAGGTGCCTCCTTCTCCTTTCCCCGTCGCTTTCTGCACGGGAGGAGTCTTCAGAATACTACATTCTAAACAGATCTCTCTATTTTCTGGGTCTTTGCCCAAGAGGGGTTCTTGGGGGACATTTGGAGAGGACTGTGCTCTGTCGGGTTGCGGTGGAGACACGATAGAAGGTGGTCGCAGAGGGGAGAGATCCCTGGAGCTTCTCCCCACAGCAGCCCGGGCCCCCTAGGTACCAGTGTCAAGCATCAGGCCGCTGTACTGTCTCAGGAAACTTGTGGCCCCCCGTCTCCCGGCCAACAGGGGAAGCTGAAGCAGGTCACGCCGCTGACGGAGGAGGAGAAGACGGAGCACGGTGTGGCCGCTGAGCGCCGCCGCATGCGGCTGGTGTATGCCGACACCATCAAGGACCTGCTGAGCCACTGTGCCATCCAGGATGGTGAGCGCGTGTCTGTGCGTCAGAGGGCAGCCGGGGTCCTCGAAACCCCTTTGGGTGGAAGGAGGAAGGGATTTCCCTTTGGGCCTCTTTCCCTGGTCATCTCAGGCTCCTCTGGCCTCACTGGCCTCAAGATCTCTTGGAGGGAAAGAAGGTTCTGGGGTTACTCACTCGCAGCCCAGGAGTGGTGGGGGTGGAGTGGGAACCTATAGAAATCCCTGTCACCCACAATGCATTTGGGCCTCTGGGAGAGATGATGTTTGGGAAGGTGATACTGGGCTAGGAATTTTAAAAAGTGTCTGTAAATGTGTGTGTATATGTTTTCTCTCCTCCTACCCCAAATAAAAAGTTAAAAAGCGAGGCTTCCTCCATCCCAGAACTCAGGTCATCTCCCCAGAGACAAAGAGGCCCTACCTGGGTTTGGATATCTCTCTAGGGGTTCTTTCTGTGGATTTAAGCAAAGCATGTGCTATTTAGTTTCCTGTTTTTACCCTGAAGGGGACAGACAGGATATGTTGTTCCCATAACTTCATCTTGATTCCTCCCCTATTGATGGTTGTTCCCTGTTGGTACAGGATGATCTATCTGCCTTGGACTGGGTGGGGTTCTGGCAGGTGGTGAGGTGAAGATGAAGGCCCCTTGGGGCCTTATCCATCTTCATGTTCTTATGTGAGGACTTCTTTGATATGGAAATTGGAGGAGCCACTTTTCAGAGAAATAAAAAATAATTCAGCTGAGCAAGGTCACACCCACAAGTAATCTTAGCACTCTGGAGGCTGAGGCAGGAGGATCATGAGTGATATAGGCCAGCCTTGATTACATATAAAGTTCAAGGCCACCCTGGGATACATAGTGAAATCCTGTCTCAAAACAAACAAAAACTGAGTGTTGGCTGGGCATGGTGGCACACACCAGCAATTCCAGCAGTGACATTGTAAGACCAAGACCAGCCTGGCTGTACAGCAAGTTTGAGGCTAGCCTGTACTAGCTTATGTCCCTTCTCTCCTATCCTCCCCTCCTTTTTTTTTTTTTTTTTTTTGAGATACAGTTTCTTCCTGTAGCCTTGGCTGTCCTGGACCCTCTTTTGTAGACCAGGCTGGCATTGAACTCTGCCTGCCTCTGCCTCCGAGTGCTGGGATTACAGGCGTGTGCCACCGTGCCCAGCTTCTCTCATTGGTTACCCACGGCCAGTCTAGGCCTTGTGCTTACCTGCTGGTAGTAGATTAATGTTCTGGGATGAGGCTCCGTGTCCTGGGACCTCCATGGACAGTTTATCCTTAGGGACTCTCTCACCTCCTTGCCTTCCTCCCCGGCCAGATCTGGACAACAAGGATTGCAGCAATATGGTGCCAGCTGAGAAGACCCGAGTGGAGAGCGTGGAGCTGGTGTTGCCTCCTCATGCCAATCATCAGGGCAATACCTTTGGAGGCCAGATTATGGCCTGGATGGAGAACGTGGCCACCATTGCGGCCAGGTGAGATGGCCTCTATATGCCTTTTCTCCTCTGCTTCCAGAGGCTATATCCTTGGCAAGAGAAACCCTTGTTGGTGTCAGCATTCAAGGCTCCAGAAGCTTGGGTGTTCTGCTAGGATAACCCTGGATGTTTATACCTATAGAGCCAGAGAGGAGCCGTTTCTGTGAGCTGGCCATGCCTCCTCCTTCTACCCACCCATCACCCCAATCTAGCTTTGCCTGCACTTCAGTAGTAACTGCTCTGTCAGGCTCTGTCCCCCCCTCTATTTTCTAGGCCTTGATTTTGCTCCTGGTATGACCGCCCATGGCTCAACACAATGCCCAGCCCCACCATGAAGCCACCTTGGGCCGATCCCTTTTTCTAGGCATGAAAATGAGTCCTACTTCCTCTTGTAGGCCCTGTGCTGGCCTGAGGCTCATGGTACTCCGGATGTTGGGGGTTAAAAAAATAGTCATGATAACTGGGGGTGCTTACTCAACACACTTGTGCTTCCATGGCCTTGTCCTTGCCTTGTCCTTTCTGTTTTCTCAGCCCTCACAACCCACCTTCCTCCACTAGGCCAGTCTTCATTCTCAGAGCCCAGCTCAGGCCTCCTCTCCCCTGAGGTTACAATGGAGATAGCATCCAAGCAATACCATTTGAGAAGCCTGGGCCGTAAATGGGGAGGAGACTTGAGAAGGTCCAGGGCCCGGATGGTCGGGGAAAGCTTCGTGGTGGAGGAGCATCTCATTGGGGCCTCCAGTGACAAGAAACTTTTAGGGAGGGGTGAGCTTCAAGGTGTCAGGGAGCATGGACACTGAGGCGAAAATGCCGAGGGGAGGAGGGGTTTGCTTCCGATCATACGCTACCCGCCTGCTTTCTTCTAGCCTCCAATTCAGCTCCTTTTCAGCTTCAGCATGCTAAGCTGGAAACAGCTTTGGTGCTGTACACTGAGAAGAATGATCCCAGGGCTGAGCAGAGGACCATTCCTGTGATCCAGGATGGGCTAGGGGCTAGGTACTGGAGAAATCTGGCCCAAGCACCCTGGTGCAGTACCAGCCATTTCTCCTGTCTCCCCAGCCGGCTGTGTCACGCCCACCCTACACTCAAGGCCATCGAGATGTTCCATTTCCGAGGCCCATCACAGGTGGGGGACCGTCTGGTGCTCAAGGCCATCGTGAATAACGCCTTCAAGCACAGGTGAGGGGTCAGGGTGGGTGGGGCTGGGCGGCCGGGGGGTTGAGGGTTCTTGCTGATGCAGACCTGCCAAACCTTACCCCAGCAGGTGAGGTCTGAATCACTGTGCTGACCACACGGCCCAAGTTTAGCTGGTGTTCCCTCTTCCGGAATGTTCTACGGCTCCCACTGTTGTCCAGTGGTAGGGTTAGGGTCTTTGGGTTTTCTGTCGGTGCTGTGCCTGCCACCCACTGGGAAGGTTGCTGTGCTTGTATGCCCCGTCTCTCTCCTGCCTGGCTGGAGGACTGAGCTCTAGGCTTGCACAGTTCACAGGGCCTCCTCTTGCTCATGATTCTCAGGTCCTTTCCGACCCATGTCCTAAGACAGGTATTCTAAAAATCTCACCTTGGATTGAGTTCTCATGTCTGTTCTCACCACAGCTGACTATTTCTGAGAACTCAGTATGCTCATTAAAGGTGAGCTGCGATCTGGAGCCGGGAAGCCTGGGTTCGAGTCTGGCTCTGCTTTTCACAGTCTGTGAAAAGCTTTGAGCAAGTTCTTTATCATGTCTGAGCGTCCGTTCTTTCTCTGGGAGAAAGCTAGAGAGAATGCCCGGTGAGGACCAGGGCCTACTGTGCAGAGCTTCTTGCCATGGCTGCTGGTATTTGCAGTTCAATCAGCCCACTCTCCACCGTGTCTCAGGATCCCTCCAGGCTTGTTTCTTCCCACAGCTTGTCTCTTGGCCCGTTCTGAGACTTAGTGGCAGTCAGTTCCCTGTTTTAGGTCTTGGTTTCCGGGTCTAAGGCCCACATCTTATAGCTGTAGGACTTCCTGTGGAAGGAGTGTCGGTGGCTACTGTTTACAGGTGATAGGGATAATACATTTTCCTTGTGGAGCTGTTAGGAGCATGGCTGAGGCCGTGCCTGGGAATCTGCAGGTAATGAGCAGTTCCTAGTGAGACTGTCTGCCTCTTCTGTGTCTCCTCTATATCAGAAGCCCTGCGGGTTTATTTTATTTACTTACTTACTTTTTGCAGCACTAGTTACGGCACTGGCTTTGCCCATCTGTGTTGGATAAATGCTCTACCACATCCTTGGCACCTTTTCTATCTCTTATTATGTTTTCTACTTTTAAAAACTGTGTATGTGCCTGGCAGGAGCGGTGCACCCTTTTAGTCCCAGCACTTGGGAGGCAGAGGCAGTGGCATCTCTGCGAGTGCAGGGCCAGCCTGGTCTGCATAGAGAGTTCCAGGACAGCCAGGGCTACATAGTGAGACCCTGTCTCAAAAAAACAAAACAAGATCGATGTGTATACATGTGAGTGTTTGTGTGTTTGCACAGGCGTTCACGTATGTGTGGCTGGCCTTGGAAGCTGGAGAATAACCAGTCCTCAGGCCCCACTCACCTTATTTTGAGAGAGTTTTCTCCTTGGCCTGGGGCTTGCCATGGTTATTCGGGCTGCCAGCAAGCCCCACAGATGCTCCTTTCTTCGCATCCCCAAGGCTGGGACTGTAAGCATATGTCACCACACTTGGCTTTTAGGTGGTTCTGGCTATTGAACTCGGGTCCTTGTGCTTGTACTTTATGGGTTGAGCTATCTCCTCAGCCCCTATTATTAATTATTATTTTTTATTATGAATTTTGAGAAAGAGTTCTATGCTGTTACTAAGGTTGGCCTCTAACTCATGTCAATCCTCCTGCCTCCGCATCCCTAGTGCTGTGATTACTAGCACACGACAGCATGATAGCTCCTTTGGAATTTCCAATGACTTAGTTTTTAAAAATTACATTTATATATATTTATTGTGTATGTGGTGAGTGTGTGTGTGTGTGTGTGTGTGTGTGTGTGTGTGTGTGTGTGTTTTACGGGGGCGGGGAGTATGCGTGAGCATGCTCACGTGGAAGTCAGAGGACAGGCTGTGGGAACCAGCTTTCTGCTTGTGCTATGTAGATCCCTGGGACCAAATTCAGGTCGTGGGACTTGGCAGCTGGGACTTTGCTGCTGAGCCGTCTCACCGGCCCTTTGATGACTTCTGGGTGTCTTTGCTTTCTTGCTTGGTTGACTCCCGGGGCTGTTAGGCGGACGCCTGGCTGGGCGGGTTCACCCATCCCTGGGTCACACACGCTGGGGTGCTCTGTAAGATTACTGACGAGAACAGCATGTTTGGTCCTGGCTGCTGGAAGAAGTGCAGGAGCGTATGCGCACTCTCTGCACGCCTGCCCGCCTGTGCGCGTACTTCCGTGTGAGTGTGTGCCGTGGACGGGCCTGGCCTGAGGAAGGGCCGTGGGACCTGACCTTCTGTTTCGCTTGGCCTTAGCATGGAGGTGGGGGTGTGCGTGGAAGCTTACCGCCAGGAGGCAGAGAAGCAGCGCCGGCACATCAACAGCGCCTTCATGACCTTCGTGGTCCTGGACAAAGATGATCAGCCTCAGAAGCTGCCCTGGATTCGTCCCCAGCCTGGAGTGAGTGCCTTATCCCCAACACTCCTCAGCAGCCATTCTGGGAACAGCCCCATCCCTGGCTCTTTGTGGGTGGGGAGGAGACAACCAAATCCGAGTGTCTTGCTCTGCCTGCCAGAACTGGAACATACCGTGGGGTCTGGCTGATGTTGGCTGTTCATGGACCCGAATAGCCCATAAGGATTACAGAGACCCCTGGTTTGGGAGCCATGGGCTGGGAGGGCCCTGCCCCTGCCACGTTCTCACACTTAATATCTCTGAGGGTTTCGGTCCTTATCTGTGTAATTGGTATGTCTGCAACTTCCGCCTTCTGAGTTGTGGCTGTGGGGAAGCAGCCGCCTGCAAAGCCTTGGAGAAGTGGTGACGGTCGGCATTCTGGCGGCAGGGGCAAGGGCACTCAATGACTGGGCTCTGTGCCTGTGAGGACACCCTCCTGGCTGGCTGGGGCCGGTTGCTGTCTTTGTGATTTTGAGTCTGGGTGAGGTTGAAGAGGGGTGGCAAAGAGGTTGGCTCTGGAGCTGACCTTCTGAGTTCTCACCCTGGCTCCACCCCATACTCCCATGATCCCTCTCAACCTCAGTTTCCTGGTGTGTGCACTGGGAATCGAAGGTCCTAGACCCAGGATCATGTGACAGAAAGCCGGTGTGGTCTCAAGCAGGGCCCTCGACTTCCCATTGAGGGCCCAGTGAATGTGGCCCTGAGTTCCATCGTGAGGTCCTTTCACCATCTCATTACCATCCTCAAAGGCTGTGTGCTTACGGCTTGAGGCACCCTGGTGCTTTCTCAGTAAGGGTGTTTTGACACCTGCTGCTCTGCCCAATCTAAACCTCCCTGTGGGGCTGTGGCAGTGCCCTCTGGCCCCAGGGGACAGGGATGGCAGAGCTATGGGCCAGCTGGTCAGCCCACCTGCACCACAAACCTGTCCCTGTGTCCTTTCTAGGAGGGTGAACGGCGGTACCGAGAGGCCAGTGCCAGGAGGAAGATCCGCCTGGACAGGCGAGTGGGGCTGGGCAGTGGGCGGGGGGGGGGGGGGGGGGGGGGGGGGGGGGGGGGGGCGTGCTTCAGGGCTCCACCCGCCGGCCCCAGGACCTTCAAGCTTCTTCAGGGACACTCCCGGGCTCAGTGCTGGGTTGTCTTCCCCACCCCCTTTTACATTTTTATTTTGAGATGGGATCTCACGCTGTAGCCCTGTAGCCCAGGCCGGGCTGGAACCCACTGAGTTAGCTTAGGCCAGTCTTGAACTCTTGGGAGCTCTCCTGCCTCTGTCTTGTGGGCTGGCACTTTGCATGGGCAGACTCTTGTTTCCGTGTTGTCACACAGCATCTTGAGGCCTTTCTAGACACAGGGGCCTTGAGGACAGAGGGTAGATCTTTTCTCTTCAGATCTGCCTTTGGTTCTGGCTTGGTCTGGGTCATCTTAAATCTTGTGTTATTTTTATTTTTTTAAATTTTTTTTTATCCCATTGACTCTGAGGCCTATTTGTTTGGCCTGTTTGATGAAAGGGTCAAATCCCAGCACCTGGGATGATGAGGTAGAGGATTGCCACAAGTTCAAGGACAACCTGGGCTATACAGAGAGACCCGTCTCAACCAAAACAAATCAACTAAAACGAAACCCGGAAAGGTCTATGGCACAGACCCAGTGGCTCAAGACGTGACCTGGCACATCTGAGTCTGCTGTAAAGCACCCTACAGACTGTAGAGTGCTGTGGATGCATCCGCGTTCACCCTGTTATTAATGGGGAAAGCCCACACTTCCGGGACATGTATCATATGCTCAGCACCGCGCCCCTTGCAAAGCCCCTTGGAGGGAGAGATGGCGTGGATTCCATTCCACAGAGAACACTGAGGCACGGGAGTCGGAGTGTGTTGTTTTTCTCCTTGCCGGCCCCCTGTGAACTGGAGTGCTAGCTGAACCTGTGTGTTCCCAGCTGCTCTCTCCTGGGTGTCAGTGTGCCCAGTCGCCCTGCCAGGCAGAGCGCCAGCGCCCACTGGGCTTGGCACTGGCCTGGCATGAAGTAGCCAGCAGTGATGTCCATCTGCCCAGCACAATGGACTCTGAGAGACCCAGGCTGCCCTCTTCCCTCCCAGGAAGTACCTTGTTGTGTCCTGTAAGCAGTTGGAAGTGGCCCTGTCTGTCCCCTGGGACCCTAGCAACCAGGTAAAGCCGTTTGTCTCAGAGCCCATTGGACCCTTTTCCCAAAACTCAGTTCCTTTCCCCCTGTCACACAGCCTCCACCCAGGGACTCCAGGGGCAGGAGAAGGCAGCGTCTGTGTTCTTTCCAGGTGTACCTGAGCTATTACAATGTGTCCTCTCTGAAGACGCTGATGGCCAAGGACAACTGGGTGCTGTCAATGGAGACCGGGGAGGTGAGTGACACACTTCCTCTCCCATACGGCCAGTTACTGCTGCTGCTTCTTTTTTTTTTTTTTTTTAATTATTATTTATTTTTAAGTGTTTTATCTGTGTACCAGATGTATGTCTAATGTGCCCAAGGAAGCCAGAATGGGATTGGCATTAACAGACATCTGTAAGCTGCCATGCTGGTGCTGGGAATCGAACCTAGGTCCTCTGGAAGAGCAGCCGTCTCTCCAGCCCTGATTATTACTTCTTAGAGATATGCTTTCTCTCTGTCCACACTGATCCCTGTCAGAGGTCCGTTTTCTCTTGGTTGTGACTAAGTCTCAGAGACATTCAGCTGCTTCTTCAGTCGGACAGCAAGTCATAGGCTGCCCTGTTGACAGCCTCCTCCAGCAGCATAGTCTGTGGGTGTGGTGCAAGAATGAGGCCGCCCTCTTCTGTGCCGTGCAGGTCCGCCTCTACACCCTGGAAGAGGAGTTCCTGTCCATTCACTTGGAGATGGTGGTGCAGGTGGATGCCGCCCAGGTCTTTCAGCTGCTCTCGGACCTGCGCAGGAGGCCAGAGTGGGACAAGCATTACCGGTGAGGCGCCACATTTTATTTTTTATTATTTTTTTTTATATACATTGGTGTTTTGCCTGCATGTATGTCTATGTGAGGATGTCCGATCCCCTGGAACTAGAGTTGTGAACTGCCGTGTGGGTGCTGGGAATTGAACCTGGGTCCTTTAGAAGAACAGCTAGTACTCTCAACTAGCTGAGCCATCTCTCCAGCCCTCAACCTCTACGTTATTTAAAATTCCATGCCTGTGTGTGTGTATGTGTGTCAGTGTGTGTCAGAAGACAACTTGTGGGTCCCGGGGATTGAACTCTGCAGGCTTGATGGCAAAGAGCCTTACCCATCGAGCCAACTTTGCGGGGTTGGGAAAGTTAATGTTTAAAGCAGCGCGTTTGCTCAGCATCCCTGGAGCCATCTTCCTTTTGCCAGTGCTGTGGCTCAGCAGGGCCTGCATCGCAAGAGCTTCCCTGGGAGGCCGGATGGCCTTGGGAACTGAGTGAGCTGCTCGTCAGCAGCCGACTTCCCAGGAGTCTGGAGAGAGTAGCTGGTTTCTTCCTCCAAAGTCTGCCCTAGGCAGAGCGCTTATCGCCGTTCACACCCCGGCCGGCCTCTTGCCGAAGCGTTTTTTGCAGCCACGGCTGTGCTGTGCTGGGGAAGACTGCTCAGGAGACAGAGTGTTAGCACACAGCATGGGAACTTGAACTTGAACTCCCGGAAGCCACGCAAAGCTGGGCGTGTAGTTCGTGTCTGCGATCCCAGTGGTCCTTCTGCAAGATGGGGGACAGAGACAGGAGACTCCAGTTAGCCTGGCACACGCAGAGGCAAATAGCAATGACTAGTGCCTGAAGCTGTGGCTGTCCGCAATGCACCATTGTGTGAATATTGTGCTCATACTTGCACACACACATGCACGCCAAGTCAAACACACACATACAGAGCAAGAGCTCAAGTGGGTGGCAAGAAGAAATGGGAGAGAGAGAGAGAGAGAGAGAGAATAAACTGTTGTTTTAAAATTCTGTGTGTGGGTGACCTGAGCCTACTGGTGATGTATCCTAGAAGGCTGAGAGGTGATTGGTGGTGGGTGGTGGCCGGGCAGAGTTGCTGGAAAAGATGGGCTGGTATGGACCAGATCACTGAGGGTGAGTGACCCCAGGGTAAAGGGATCCTAGCACACTCCCCTAGCCTGGTCCAGCCAGCCTGCTCCCAAGCGAGCTGCTGTGCACAGCAGAGGGGAGGAGGGGGAAGGGAGGTGCTGTCCTGTGTCCTCACGTGACTGTCCTTGTGTGCCTGTGAGTACCGGCGTCAGCCTATGACTGTATGCGTGGACCAACGCGCGAGTGTGCCTGGGCTGGGACACCCAAGCCCTGTTTCCTCGTGAGCTCTGCGGCCCAGAGTGGGTTATCCCCCAGCCTCAGCCCCTCTGTTCAGCGAGGATGCTGATGATGAGATCCCAGGTGTATGGCTCCCGGCACACACCGGGGACTCGCTGGACGGTGTGTGCAACTACCGGATCCTTGCACGGGTACCCGGGGCGTGTGCACCTGCAGACAGATCTGTGTGTTCACGGTGTCGTCTGTGTGCCCGTACACGTGTGTCCGTGTGTGAGCACAGGCCTGTAGGTAGCTTTCGTGTGCGGTCCCCTGTCTCTGTGTGTCCCCGTTGCTTTTCCTGCTGCTATGATGAGAGACCCTGCCAGAAGCAACTTGAGAGAGAAAGTTATTTATCCTGGCTCCCAGGTCAAGGGACGGTCCACTGTGGTAGGAGAGTCAAGGCTGGAGAAGCTTGAGGCCGTGCTTACCGCAGCCGCAGTGACAGGGCAGAGGGGGTAACTGTGTGCCGGTGCTCAGCTCACTTGGTAAAGTGCTCTCCACTTTATCAAGCCCAGGGGCCCTGCCCAGGGAGCTATGCTGCCCACGGCTGAGAGGGGTCCTCCCACAGCAATTAATAGCATCAGGATAATCTCCTACAGACTCGCCTACACGTCCATCTCCTCAGGGATTCGAGATTCTGTCTCGTTGACCATTGATACTATCAATGGTCACGTGTGTTTGCCTCAGTACTAGTCCGTGTGCCTCTGTGTATGCTTACATGAGCGTGTGCCTGTGTATCTGCTCTGGGCTGTTTGACTTTGTGTCTGGTGTCTGTGTGTGTGTGTGTGTGTGTGTGTGTGTGTGTGTGTGTGTGTGCACGCGTGCGCACGCACCCTGGAGGGCTTCCACCCTTCCTCTGGCTCTGCTGAGCCGTGCGGAGCTAAGGAGCATGCTCCAGAGGCTGTGACCTTCAGGGGCCCGGCAGGGCTGTTCTCCCTCAGAGGGTCGCTGTGGCTCCGGGTCCTGACTTCAGCCTCCCAACAGGAGCGTGGAGCTAGTGCAGCAAGTAGATGAGGACGACGCCATCTACCATGTCATCAGCCCTGCCCTGGGTGCCAACGCCAAGCCCCAAGACTTTGTGATCCTGGCTTCTAGGCGCAAGCCCTGTGACAACGGGTGAGTGAGGCCTTGCCTCCCTCTCTTGGGAAGAGCAGCAGTGTGGAGTCAGAGCTCTGAGCTCTGCTGCCCACTGGTGGTTGGACCCAGAACCCATCAGCTCTTTCTAGGCTGCCAGTGGGGTTTCACCGCGACTGCTCATGAAAGCAAGGCTGTCTGTGGCATTTGCGGCTGAGGCTGCCGCGCCCCAGACCACAGACACAGGGTACCCTTCACACTGCCGTCCCTCGGCCTCTGATGTCTGGAAGCCCGTGAGAGTAACGTGCAGCCAGGATAGACTGCATCTCCTTTTCTGGAGACTGAAAACCCCATTTCACAGGGCCGTGGGGACACACGGAACCTGAAGCTGATGCTGTTAACACAGATGACCCGAGCAAGGCATCAGGCTCTGAGTTACAGGGCAGGGTCCCCGCCTCCTCCTGTGGCTGAGCCCTGACCGCTCGCTCTGACTCTCCTCCAGAGACCCCTATGTCATCGCACTGAGGTCAGTCACGCTGCCCACGCACCATGAGACGCCAGAATATCAGCGTGGAGAGACCCTCTGTTCCGGCTTCTGCCTGTGGCGCGAGGGGGACCAGTTGACCAAGGTGAGGCCTGGTGTCCCCTCTCCCCTTCCACCTATGGGTGACTTGAACTCTGTGCTGGGACCCTTTCAGACCCGGGCCCTCCATGATCTCCTGGCTTTCCCGGCTTCAGCATCAGAAACATTATTGAGGTTTTGTGTAGTCTGTGAGTGGCTGCTGCCGGGGCCTGGAAAACACTCCGTACACAGACTACAGAAAACCTGGCTCTGATCTAAAATCCTGTCTCATTGTTTACTTACCGTGTCCCCCCTTCTTGTCTGGGAGGGCTTAATGGGGCTCGGAGGGCCTCTAAAGCCGAGCAGCTGCATAGTCAGTGTTAATTGAAAAGGTGGGGAGGAGGTGGGGGTGGGAATGCTGTGGCACCGCCCCCCAACCCCAAACCCCAGGCTTGCCGTTTCCCTCGTTTCCCTCGATTCCCTCGTTTCCCTCGATTCCCTCGAAGCCCTAGATTGGCTCCGAGCCTTGCCCAGGGGCTGCCTTGGCCAGCATTGCTGAGGACCTATGCAAAGGACATAGTCCAAGGCGATGTCTCCCACATTTCTGTGATCCCAGCACCTTGATAGAAAAATGATTTGGTTATAGGCTTTGGAGACTCAATCCCTGTCCTCTGGGACTGCCTGGCTAGCAGGGAGGAGACAGTGAGAGGGCTGTCAGAGTTGAAGTAGCCTGGCGAGCCTGTCAAAGGAGGCCATGCCTGCCTCCTTTTGACAGTGTTCTAATGGATCTTCAAGCCCCAGAAGGCAAGCAAGGCTGCCTCCTCAACTGCCTCCTGCCTGGAGGCTCTCCCCATCATGCCTCCTTGAACTTGGCTTCCTGCCCTGCAGGTCTCTTACTACAACCAGGCCACCCCCGGTTTTCTCAACTACGTGACCACCAATGTGGCTGGCCTGTCCTCAGAGTTCTACAACACTTTCAAGTCTTGTGAGAGTTTCCTGTTGGACAACCGGAATGACCTGGCCCCCAGCCTCCAGACCCTCTAGGCGTCACCCCGCCCCGCCCCGCCCCAGGTCTTACACAGTGCGTGGAGCAAAGCAGAGACGTTTATTCCCCGTGACTCCCCAGGGAAGCCTCCCACGTTAGGTGGTCTGGTCCTACAGAGTGGTCAGTTCCTGTTCACGTCTGCCAGCAAGTGTTCCCGGTGCTCCCGGGGTATCCTGTAATAGACTCGTGTCCTGTCCACGGCCCTGGCCGCCCACAGTCCAGCCCACACATCCGTATAGCTGTCCCCAGCAATGCTGTGGTACACCGTGACAGTGGCTCGAGGGGAGGCTGCCAGCAGCCTGGCCACAGATGTGGCTGTGCTCCGGCCCAGTAGCCTAGCCTGCAGCTGGAAGGACACAGGTTGCCGGAGTCCCTGACACAGCTCCAGCATATCTGTGACCATCTGCTCCTGATAGCCACTGCCCAGCACCTCTTCAGGCCAGCCCGGTGCCAGAGTCACATGGGGGAAAACTTCAGCCACAGCTGTGAGCAGCTCTCTGCCGGCCACGTGGCCAGGGACCACAAAACTACCATGTGAGATTGTGGCTCCCACCCACACAGGCCAGGGCAGATGGCCAAGGGTGGAGAGGTGTGCCAGCGTGGCCAGGGATGGCCGGAGAGCTGCGGGTTCCACTATGTTCACGTGGATGCCCCAGCGCCTGTTGTGGATGCCCAGCTGCAGCAGACATGACTCCAGCGTCAGAACAGGACCACCCGGCGAGTGCAGGATGGGCACAGGGGTCCCAGCTTCAGGTTCCTGGAGGCCAACATCCAGCAGGACCATGCCTTCTCTGTCTGGAAGAGGCAACGGTGTTTGGCGTTCCTGTCATCAGGGGATGTCAGTGTCCCTCGCTAAAGGGGCAGCAGAGATCATGGGGACACAGGAGGAGAAACTGGTGCCAGCCGCTCTTGAATCTGCCAGTCCCATCCCAGGCTCCAAGTCACGCAGCCACCACAAGCCGCTGACTCAGTTCTCGGCCTTCCTGGTGACTCAGAGCTGGGTCACCTCTCTAGCTGCACTGTGGTTGAGGACTCAGGGCCGCTGGTCTAAGACCAGGAGTTCCCGCTCTTGGCATCATCCCTCCCGCTTTGTAGCTAGTGTGTGGCTTATTAGGTTGCCATGGTAACAGAGAACCAAGTTACCTACCCAAGCAAGCGACAGGCCTGTGGGTTAGCCAGGAGCCTTAGGGCTTTGGGCACACTCACCAGGGACAGTAATGGCTGCCGTTCCCCCACTGCCATTCACTTCTGGAACCAGCCACTCTACCTCCAGACCATCACCCCTGGGCTGCTGGAGAAGAGGGATCAGGCTGCCACCTGTGTAGTAGGTTCGCTTCCGTGTGGTGTTCACTGTGGGACCCAAAATTACCAAGGTGACGGGACCACTCCCCACAAACCGCCTCGCACACGCTCTGGCTCTGCTGCAGCCTGAGCCTTGTAGCTGTCAGTTCCCCCTTGGGTAGGTTCCAAGTCATTGTCTCATGGTTGACATTCAGCAAACAGTTTACTGGGCCAGAACCAAATGGAGTTCGAGCTGGTGGCCCCCAAAGCTTGTCTCTTTCCCTTCCGGGACACGGCTCCCTCTCTTAGGGGGGGTGGAATCTAATGCAACCCCTTGGGATGGCTTAAGTGTAGGTGCTCCTAAGACTCAGAGCCAAGGGAACAAGGGGTTTGCATAGTGGCATCTGGCTCATGACCTCAGGGGTCCAGAAGAGGGCTGTGCTCCGAGACATGAGTACCATCAAACATGAATGGGGCTGTGGAAGTGGGGAGGGGCATGAATTGGCTAGGTTCTGACCAAACTGTACTTCTACAAAATTCGTTGGAGTTTTGGTCCTCCATTTTTCTCTCTATCAGCCAGACTCCAGCTCTGTGGACAGGCAAAGATTGGCTAGCATGATATCGCCGGGGCAGAAGACAAATCCTCAGAATGGTCCTGTCTTCTGTTCCACCCAGAGGATCCCCCTTCCAGGCCTCCCCTTCTCTGCTCCTGTGCCCACCCAAGGCTGCCCTGAGCAGAACACGGGTGCCCCTCCCCCTCCCGGGCCCCATCCTTACAGGCCAGCTGCTTGAACTGCGACAAGACAGGCTCGAAGAGGTCATAGTAGATTTGGTGAGCGGCACTGTTGTCTCGGATGAAGAGGAGATCTTCTACCGACACGGGGTCGGAGGCACCCTGCCACAGTGTCAGGCTGTACCTGGGACCAGAGAGCTGACTCAGCATCTTCCCCAGGCCCGGAAAGATCCAACTCCCATGCTTGGAACTGAATGGCAGCTGAGCCTAGGAGCAGAACATCTGTCCTCCGGCTTCCCAGCAGCCTCTCCTCTTGAGCACCGGGGGATGATGAGAAGTTCAGGGGACAGTAGGATGTGTACCCTTGGGATGTCTATCTCTGAGTTAGGCACCAAGGGAAGCCGTGATCAGCCTGTCATCACAGGTGTACAAGCCAGAGGCAGAGCGTTGTAGGGCACTGTTAGGCTAGTGGGGCTGGGACAAGGTGGTTGTTAGGACCCCTCCTGCCGTGTTCATCTTGGGTCAGCTCCCGGGGTAGGTTTGGAACTGGTAGAGGGGCTTCACCTCTCAGATTGGCTCAGAAGCCAGCTGAAGTGGGGCCAAGCCGCCCGTGTCATGAAAGCACGCACTGGGAAGGTGACCCTCTGTGGCAGGACGGCCACCAGCTCCTGCATCCTTTCCACCATGGCTTGGGTGTATGTGCTGTTTGGCAGCTGAGGTACGTAAAGAGTGGTGAAGCCTGGAGAAATGGTGACCTCTGGGTACTTCTCCTGGACAAGTGCCAGGAACCTGCCGAGAACAGAGAGATCCATTTTGAGACCCCCCGGGCCTCTTCTTGTAGGCTCTTATTCCCAGGGATGGGGAACGGCCAGGTCCGTTGATTCCGGGGCTTGGAGGCTGGCCACAGAGCCCTAAAGGACAGCAGTGAGGTTTACACACGCTCATGCCCATGTTACTGCCCTGTGCTGTCAGGGAGGTCTGGGCTCAAGACCCTGCTCTGAGTCTACTGGTCACCTCCGCCTTGGATTCTCCAAGAGAGTGACCACCTGCCAGGACAGGGCCTTTTAAACATACCCGTGAAGACGGAGGGGCGTGAGTGAGGCTTATGGGATGTGCAGACCACAGGGTCGGATGTCCTATTGTTTTCCTATGAGCAAGAGCATGGTGGCACATGTCTGTAATCTCAGCACTTGGGAGGTGGGAGGCAGGAGGATCAGGACTTCCTTCACCCCCAGCCACAGAGCAAGCACAGGGCTACCCTAGGCTACATGAAACTGTCTCGAAGCAAAAAATCAAAAAGAATTATTTGGATTTTGTTCTGATGCGAATATTAATAGGAAAGTGATGTCATCCACCGCCCAGTCCCAGATGTATAAATCGGTACCCGAGGACAGAAGCCTTATTTGTCTTGGGCCTTAGCCTACATTTTTTTTTCAAAATTTTTTCTTTTCTTCAAATAGATATCATTTTGAGAATCATAGTTGAGTGTTGGCTGGGCAAATAAAGGGAGAGGCGACTACAAAGCACAAAGGTTGGGGAGGGAAAGGCCGGTGGGAACCTTTGCTCTGCCACTTTGTAGACTTAGACAGGCCACTTAACCTTTCAAAGATAGTTTCTGTACTCACGGAGGAGTCTGACTAGTCGCTACCTCATTTCTGAAGTGTTCATCTGTTTTCTGCAAATAAAATGCTTGAAACCGTGCCTGGGGCACAGCGAACGCTCAACAGCACGTTTCTGTCATTGCGAATTTTCACATCTGCAAAATGGGGAGAAAACTACCCCTTGCCTGCTGGGGGCCTGGGCTTGCTGGAGATCCGAGGAGAGAGCCGCCTCTTTATAGCTTTCTAGCAGGCCAAGACCTGTGCATGTCACTGGGGAGACAGACGGAATGTGGTCACAGTGGACTGGGGGAGAGAAATATGTCAACAGGGACAGTCCAACTGATTCAGGCCTGAGGGGCCCAGGGGAGGCTCTTCAGGAATCTGGGCTGCTAGGAACAGTCCTGGAGGTGGCAGGGACCAGGGAAAGACTCAATAAAAGAGGAAAACTGAGCTGGTGCACACCAGGTATAGCAGAGATGGAAACAGTAGGATCGGGAATTCAAGGCTGTTCAGGACTCCATGAGAACTTGTCTCATCCTCTCCCCCACAAAAAGGTAAGGAAAACAAAACAAAAACCACCACTACCACCACCAACAAAAAAAACCCCAAGGTATAGTGGCCCATCACTGTAAGCCTGGAAGTAGGAGACAAAGGCAAGAGGATCCCGCAAGTATGAGGCCAGCCTGATCTGTATAATGGGTTCCAGGGTAGCAAGAACTACATAGACTGTGTCTTAAAAACATGTGAAGGGATGGGGCTGGAGAGGCTGCTCAGTGGTTAGGAGGACCCAGGTTCAATTCTCAGCGCCTTCCAGGGATCCAACATCCTCGCAGACACACACACAGGCAAAACCGCCAATGCACATATAACGAATCATTAAACACACACTCATCAAGGGGGCAGGCATCTGAGGCCAGAGGGAGGAGGACATGCGTATGCTCAGAGGTGGCTGGTGGGTGGCTCAGCAGGTGAAGGTGCTTAGGATGCCAAGACAGATGACCTGAGCTCACTCACGCCCTAGGACCTGTGTGGGGAAAAGAGAAAACCAACTCCCGGAAGCCGATCTCTGACTTCCACACCATCACTGCGGCACACAGGTGTAAACACACACAAAACAAACCAAAAGGCTCAGAGAGGAGGTCTCACAGTGGGGATGGCAAATGCAATAAAGGTTTCCCCATGGTCCCCTTTCATGCTCAGTGCTGACGGACTCACAGGCTGGACACAGCTGGCCGGAGGGTGAACACTCACTGTGTAGCATTGATCTCAACTGAGATGGGCACATTGGGACCCCTCAGGATGTCAGCATTGATCCACACGGGTCTCCGGATCCTGCCGGCCTCAGTCAGCTGCCGAAGGAGGTCCAGGGAGGGGCCTACAGCCTTGAGGCTTTTGAAGTCCAGTTTGATGCCTGCAGGAAAGGGGCAAAGGCTGGGGAACTGGAAGTCGGCTTGCTGGGTAGGAGGAGCTGGGAAGGGTGGGGAGGGTCTTGGGAGAGGGTGGGAAGATGGAGCAGGTTTGCTGGAGTGCTTCGAGGCAGGGAGAGCCAAAGCAGAGAAGGACTCCCTTCTTTAGGCGGGCAGAAGCCAGCTGAAGGCCTGGGCTGCCGCAGGGAGACTCGAACATAAAGAAGGGCTTCAGCTTCTGGTCAGGGCAGACTCTGAGGCCCTGGCCTGGACCACGACAGCCTGGGAGGAACACTAGGCCTCCAGGAAGGGACGTCTGGGCAGAGAGATTGACGAGTATGGAGGGATGCCCATCTTATCTGTGGAGATGAGAGATGAGACTTCCACGTTAGATGGGTTGAAAGCCAAGCCAGGACAAGGGGAGCAGGACAAGGGGAGCCATGGAGGGCGGAAGCGGAAGTTGTAGGTGCAGGTGGCAGTTAGGGGAGGCTGTCTGTGGGAGAAACGACGTGGCTGTGACTGGATTACAGTCAGCAGGGGCCACTGCTGGGTGGATGAGGATGAGGGAGGAGGTGGTGTCTGAGTGAGGCTTAGATCCAGACTGGAAACTGGAGTTGGAGGGGAGAGGATTTGCCTCTGAACACATTGACCAGCTCTGCCAATGAGGGTCACCTTGACCCTGATTGGCCTTTGCAGATTACTCTGCTTTCTTTCTCTCTCTTACTCTCTATCTCCTTCCCTCTTTCCCTCCCTCCCTTCCATTTATTTGTTGTTTATACAGTATTCTGCCTGCACGCTAGAAGAGGGCACCAGATCTCATTATAGATGGTTATGAGCCATCATGTGGTTGCCGGGAATTGAACTCGGGACCTTTGAGGAACAGCTAGTGCTCTTAACCATCTCTCTGAGCCATCTCTTCAGCCCTACTCTGCACTTTCAGGTCCCTGCCTCACCTGTGGGCTCTGGAGAGAACATGTGGGTTGCATTTCCCCTTGTCCATCTTGCTTAGCTCCTCCTGAGCCTGTGAGATGGAAATCTGGGGAGCGAGCAGGAGCAGCTCAGGGTGGTCCTGGATTCACCTCGCCCTAGAGGGGTCCCTACTTAAGGGCAGAGGTCTAGGGAGCCTGGGGCTGGGAGAGGGATGGCTTACCCTTCTGAGAGGAGGCCAGCACAGCTTCCAGCCACTGCTGCAGGGTGTTGTCACTGTGGACGGCTGGAGGGTGGGCCATAATGGGCACCCCGGTCTCATTGGCTGTGTTGAACCCTTCCACAGTGACATCTGCTTCCAAGACCATGACATTGCCTATTTTTAAGAGGCAGAACTCAATAAGTGCTCTAAGAGAACATTTATTTATTATTTATTTTACCGTGTGTCTGCTCACGGCACCACAGCTTAAGTGTCATAGCCAGACAGAAGAGTACTGGCATGAGTGAGCAGGAGTCAGCCATGTGGGTCCTGGGGTCACACTCAAGTCTTCAGGCTTGGTGACAGTGCCTTCACCTGCTGAGATGTAGGCCTCTCAATCAGTACCTTTTAATTTTTTTAAGACTTATTTATTTATTTATTTATTTATTTATTTATTTATTTATTTATTATGTATACAGTGTTCTGCCTGCATGTACGCCTGCAGGCCAGAAGAGGGCACCAGATCCCACTATAGATGGTTGGGGAGCCACCTTGTGGGTGCTGGGAATTGAACTCAGGACCTCTGGAAGAACGGCCAGTCTTCTTAACCTCTGAGCCATGTCTCCAGGCCACATTTAAAAAAATAAAATAAATCTTTGGCTGGTCTGGAGTTCTTGTTATGTAGACCAGGCTGGCTTCAAATTCACAGAGATCTGCTGGCCTCTGCCTCCTGAGTGCTGGGATTAAAGGTGTACACCATCAGGCCTGACCTTCTCTGGTTTATTGATTACTTTTTATTATATTTATACTATATTTTATATCCTATTATTATATTTTATTATGTATTACATGGTTATATTATATTATTGATTATCCATCTGAATAGAATTTGACTCAGGTGCACACAGGACCACCTGAAAGCCTCTATTGTCAGCTTCTGTCCAGCATGGCAGGACCACCCTTCCGGCTGTGTCCTCACTAGCAACTAAGGCGTTCTTTTCATCTGCTGACGTCTCGCCGTTAATTCAGGAGAGCCCTTGAGTTTTCAGTCTAAATGGAGCTCAGACCTTCGGCACCAACTTTAATGTGTACCAACACCAACATGCACCTGTCAGATTGTAGGTTTTGATCTACAGGTTTGGGGAAGGGCTAAGATTCTCCTCTCTTGGGCACTCCCCGGTTAGGCCACTCTTCCATCCTAGGGGCCTTAGCTGGAACCATCTCTTCCTAAGGGGACGCAGCCGTCCTGAGTCTTTCCTCCCTGATGGTGGAGATGGCCAACACCTGAGGTGCTGACTAGGGGATGATGAGAGTGAGCAAAGGAAAGGCAACGCTGGTGTGCCATCACACCTTCGATCCCAGCATTGGAGACGAGGCAGACCTTGCTGTAAGTTTGAGGCCAGTCTGGGTACACAGTCAGTTCAAGGTTAGCCTGGGCAAAATACTGAGATCCTGCCTAAAAAAATAAACAACGACAAACTCAAGATCAACCGCCTAAGCCCAGGGAAGTAAGACAGCTCACCTCGGTTCTGAGAATTTTAAATACATTTTATGTGTTTAAGTGACTTCTACATGTATGTTCATGAACCACCTATGTACCCGGTGCTGGCGGAAGACACCAAAGAGCATCAGATCTCCTGGAACTGGAATTAGACAGTTGTGTGCTGCCATGTGGGTGCTGGGAACTGTGAACCCAGGACCCCTGCGAAAGCAGCAGATGCTTTTCAGCACCGAACCTTCTCTCCAGCTCTCATGCCTGAGCATCTTATCAGGTTTCTTTACAGTTCAGGTGCTGGATGAAGTCAAATATACGCTGTTGCTGGCCCTTGTTTTGCTCGTCTGTCTTTTGGGACAGTCTTACACTATTGCCCTGGGTAGCCTGGGATACACTGTATAGTCCAGGCTGGCCTCAAACTCACAAGCAGTCCCCTGCCTCTACTTCCCAAGTTCTGGGCTTATAGGTGTGTCCCAGCATGCCCAACATCGACTCTGTTTTGTGGCCCAGGATGGCCTGAAATTTGGATCTCCCACCTCAGCCTCCCAGGGCCAGGATCACAGGAGTGGGAGTTTTGCATCATCCTATCCTATATCTGCGTTTTGAAGTTGGAACTCTTGTCCTCATCGGTGAGAAGAGACAAGGTCCCAGGCCTCAGAACACCATCAGGGACCTCAGAACCATTGCCAACCCAGATGGCACATGGATGATATGAAATGAACTTTATTTTTGTGACTCAAACACAAAGTTGTTCTCCCAGAAACAGGGTTTCTCTGTGTAGCCCTGGCTATCCTGGATTCCTTCTGTAGACCAGGCTGGCCTCGAACTCACAGAGATTCACCTGCCTCTGCCTCTTGAATGTTGGGATTTAAAGGCGTGGGCCACAATGACACCTGGCCTCACAAAGTTGTTTTTTTTTTTTTTAAGGTATTTTAAATCTATTTTTATTTTATGTGTTTGAGTTTTGCCTGCATGTATACATACGTGTCATGTGTATGCCTGGTGCCCCCAGAGGCCAGAGGGCATTGGATCCCCTGGAACTGGAGTAATTAATATACAATTATGACCCACCTTGTGGGTGTCAGGAACCCAACCCCAAGTCTCCTCTGCAACAGCACGAGTGGTCTTAGCCTGAGACATCTCTCAAGCCTCTATACATTTCTTTGTTAACTTTTGCCTGCTTGGGCAAACAGTGGGTAAGGTTTGGGACAGAGAATCTAGGCTCGAGACGGGTACCTGAATACCACAGCTAGGTGTAGTAGTGCACACCAGTAATCCCAGCACTTGGAACCTGGAGGCAGGGTTAAGAGTTCAATGCTAAACCGGGTGGTGGTGGTGTGTGTGTGTTGGCCTGTAATCCCAGCACTTGGGAGGCAGAGGCAGGCAGAGCTCTGTGAGTTGGAGGCTGGGCCTGGGGGCTGACCTGCTTGGGGTAAATGAGGAGGATCTTGGATCCTCAGGAAGGCACTCTCCAGAGGGAAGGGAGCATGCAGCTGCCAAGCCCCCCTCTCACCCACCACTGAGTCAGGTGAGCATGGTGGCCGAGGGCGCAGACTCTGCTGTGTGACACAGGCCAGATTCCCTGACCTCCCTGGCCTTGTTTCCCCTTTTGTGAGAATTAAATAGTAACATCTCCCAGCTTAGACGGTCTCCCAGGTTAGGCGTTCACCAAGTGTTAATTATTATTTACACTTACCTAGAGTAACCCAGGGCCATCTGGTGTATTTCTGCTATCTCAACAATTACTAATAATGACCTTGTTTGTGATCAAGCAAGCCCAGGAATCACTGCTGCCATCCCCCCTCTTACCCCCCAGGGTCTCTTGTAGCCTAAGCTGGTCTGGAACTCGCCATATAGCCCGGGATGACCCTGAAGTTTTATTCATCTTCCCCTGACCTCCCCAGCTGAGATTACAGGTGTCCCCACCACACCTGGACCGAATCATGGCTGGTAAATGCCAAGGTAAAATTTGAACCTTTTGGGCAGCCTCCAGGCCTGCTGTCCTGGACATGCAGTCCAGTCCATCCTCGCTCTGCCAGCTCCCAGAGGCCTGCCCCAGGGGCCTGCTAGCAAGAAAACTAGGCCTCTCTGTTCCCTGCCGCAGCACCCACCCCTGGTTGGGGACCTGGCTTCCTGGCATGGTGGAAACCCTGGGGACTCCCCATTGTGCTAGGCTGCCCTGGGTGAAGCTAGGTGGCAGGTCCTTTTGGCATCCTCTCAGGCCTTATCTCCCACTTCTCTCTGACCTGGTTCACTTGTCAGGCCAAAGGGCTTTCTCCTGTTAAGGTGTCTTTGTGTGTGTGTGTGGGGGGGGGGGCGCCCTCACCCTTCTCAGCACTCAGAGATAAAGAAAAAAATTGATTAGTGTGTAGATCTAGCCTTTAGGTACTGCTTAAACAGGCCCAGGCCTGGTCAGAAATATACGACCATCCATCCCAGGGAGGTCTTTTCATCCCTATCCTAAAGGAGATCCCTCCCTCCCCCGAGCTAAGCAGGTTTCCTACAGGTACTCCATAAGCTAAAATATGCAGGCTCCTAGTTAAAACATTCATCTTTAGCCAGCAGAATGTGCTGTCTGTGCTCTTTCCTAGAGAAGAAAAGGGGGCTCTCAGCTATAGAGGAAACAGGGGTGCGGCGTTAGTGCTGTTGTTTCAGACCAGAGACGCTTTCTCATTCCTGTGTCACCCAGCGCCTCCTGAGCGAGCTTGAGAGCCATGGTTGAGGTTAAAGCTTGCTATTTTCCTTTCTCCTTCACTCCCGGTCACCAAGGCCCCCGCTGTCAGAAAACACAGCTGAAGACGTAGAGGACTGGGTCTCTCCCGGCCTGGCCTGGCCTCTCCCTGCTGGCCATTTAGACCCTCAGTCAATGAGCTCTTCCCAGGCCACACGTCAGGCCTGCTGTACGGTGACCTGCCAGAGCAAAAGCCGTAATCTGATGGCCAGGCCTCCTCTGCTTCCCACTTAGGTGTGACCCTAGATGAGACTCCAGGATGCTCACCTGGAACCAAGTCTCTCTCTTTCTCTCCCTCTCCCAGTGCTGACAATGTAGCCCAAGCCAACCTGGAACTAGCGATGTTATAGGTCAGCAGGAGGTTTTCCTTGAATGGTGGTTCTCCCAGTGTGGCCCTAAACAGTAGCACCACCCGGAAGACCTCAGGCCACGTCCACGGTACTGAAACCTGTGCTTTCTGAAGCACACTCAAGCCAGGGATCACGCCCCCAGACCTCCACAGCGTCTCAACAGCCCCTAAAGAGGATATTTTCCCACCGACCTAACCCAGGAACTCAGATCACGGACCTTGAGGCGGGGGTGGGGCTGATCCATGTCCCCTTAGGGAAACTGTGGTAGGCATATGAAAATAACCACCACAGAGTTGCCCATGACGACAGCGTCAGCTGGCCCCTGATCCCCTGACCCCGCACAGGATGGCTAGACTTACTGCTCAGGGCAGCCTCCATCTCTTTCTTGCTGTTGGCTGCGTGGTACCAGGTGACCAGCAGGCCGTCGCGGTGGCTGATTTGGCCTGTGCTCAGCATGTAGTCCAGCATGTCAGCATCCGGACGGCAAAATGCATCTTGCTCACAGCCTGGAACCAATGCCAAGGGGTTGTCATCGGCATCGCTTGCTCAGCCCGGCATGGGTCGCCATAATTCTACAACTGTGAATCTAGCATTTAGTCCAGTAGACAGACAGCAGGACCCACAGCCCCTAGCGTGGTAAGAGAGCGTGAGCCTAGCCTGGTCGCTCTGATCCCAGCAGATGTGAGGCCGAAGCCCGAAGACTGGCACCAGGCTGAGTCCAGCCAGGATTACATAGTAAGTTCCAGGTCAGTTGGGCCATAGAGTAAAAATCTTTTTTTCAAATAAACATAATAGGGTCTGGAGGCATGGCTCAGTTGGTGGAGCACTTGCTTGCCTAGCGTGTGAGGCTTAACATGTGGGCTTAACACGTAGCCACCACATAAACTGGCTGTAGCGGCACATACCTGGCATTCTGTCATTAAGGTGGGTGAGACAGGGCAATCAGAAATTCAAGGTTGCCAGGCTGTGCTGGCCCACGCCTTTCATCCCAGCACTCAGGAGGCAGAGGCAGGTAGTCTCTGTGAGTTTGAGGCCAGCCTGGTCTACAGAGCGAGTTCTAGGACAGCCAGGGCTACCCAGAGAAGCTCTGCCTTGAAAAAGAAACAAAGTTCAAGGTTTTCTTTTGGCTACATAGTGAGCTGGGGACCAGTGTGGGATATACAAGTGCTTGTCTCAAAAATCAGATTAGCAAGCACTGTGAAGATGGCTCAGGAGGTAAGGGCACTTCGTCCAAGCCTGATGACCTGAGTTAAAATGCTGAAGCCCACACAGGAGAAGGAAGAACTGTCTCCTACAAACTGCCCTTTGTCATACAGACAGAGAGAGAGAAAGACAGAGAGAGGTAGTGGTAGTGGCGAGGACACATGACAACGATGACAAAATAAACGTAAAAGACAAAAACCCGCATAGAGACAGGGAACTGTATGTCTTCCTCGGGCCGCACACACTCTTGTTGGCCTTGGATCACCAGGAAAGGGAGAGCCAAAAGAGAAGTGGGCATGTGGGGGGTACTTGGGGGGATGGGTCTACGACAGGAGAGGAGCATATAGATGGTTCTGGACCGAACGGTGAAGGCTTAGCCATGGGAAAGGATGTTTGTACAGAGGGATGGCCGTTGCCTGTCCTATGGAGGAGGGGAAACTTGTCTCCAGGTGGAGAAGTTGGGTCCGTGCAGGGCGTGGGACTAGGGGCATTGTTCAGAAAAGAGCCAGCTGGCTGTAAAGAGCAGTGGCTGGCAAGAGCCCACTGGAGACAGCATCCCTGCAAGAGTCTAGGACACGCCCTGAGGTTCTGAGGACAGTGCTTATGGAGGAGAAGGGAGGGGCAAGCAGAGCCTCGGAATAAGGACAGGCATAGGTTTGGGGCATTGGCTTGAGGGGGCTGTTTCTGGGTGGCTGGGGGGCCCTTTATCAAGGCGAGACTATAGGAAGAGTGAAAAGGCTGCCCTGAGGGCTCACAAGGCCTCCAAGAGGGAAGGTCCCTCCAAAAGCACAGCAGGAAGGGTCTTGGCTGAGATCAGGGCCAAGTCGATGGCACCTTCCGCTAGGGAGGAAGACTTGGTAGGACTGAGGTATCACAGAGCGGCATAGAGCTGGGGATGTGGACAGAGCTTGGTGGGGTAAGGGATGAGGGGAGCGGGGTGCGGAAGGAACAGTTCCTACCTAGTTGGGTGCCGCTACGCAGGGTTAGGCCCAGAACCATCGAAATGGTCAACACCAGTGTCACCGTGACGCTGCCAGCAAGGATCCACTTGGCCTGGTGGTTTGAGCACCACTTCTGGCAGGACATTTTGACCCTCACCGAAGAACGTCCCTTTCCGGATCCCTGCGCCTGAGATCTGCAGCGGTATGTAGCCGGCAGGTCTGGCCACTCCTACAGTCTCGGTGGGGAGGGCTCAGAAACCCTGTCCTCCTGCCAGCCCTCATCTCCTTTTCCTCACCCATGCTGTATCTTATCAGACTCAGCAGAAAATCCTGCCACCTTCCTCCCCCCTCCCCCCCTGAAACGACCTTCGAGCACAGCCAGAAGCAGCGGTGCAGTCAACAGAGCCGGGACCCCTGCTGCAGGAGTAGGAGGTAGTCCAGCTGGCCTGGGGTTCCTAGTGGCCGGGAGCAAACCAAAGTGTCCTTCCAGGCCTTGTTTGACCCCCGTGTGGAAGGAAGCAGCCCATCTCTTCACTCCTCTCCATCTAGATCTTCCTGCTGTGCTCCAGGGAACCCCCTGGGTCACGCAAGGGTTGGCAGCAAGAGCAGGTTAGCTCTGCCCCCGGGGACGTGAATTTCCTTTTATCTGAGATGATGGCTGATAGGCAGGGCTGGGATGGTCGCTGATAGTCCTGGCATGTGAACCTGTGCCAGTGCAGGCCACCTCTGTACTCCGTTCCCTGGGCAGGGCTAAGTTGCCCTAAGAAGTTAAGGACTGTCGCTGTTTCTCAGGTCAGGGGATTTAAAGGAGCCCAAGAGCCAGCTGGGAGAAGTGTGCAGAGGAACTGCGTCTTAGCGGGTAGGGGGCAGCAGGGGACAGGGGACAGATGAGTGGCTAGGTGATTTTGGCTTTTGCTTTTCTAAGAAGTTTTTTTCTTGTCACAAGACCGCTGCCAAACCGTTCCTACGTCTCCATGTCACAGAAGACCCTGTGTTGAGTCACATTTGTGACCTGGGCTTCTGCCTCTAGGCTGGTTTCTTCTTGTCCAACCCGAGTGACAATGGGAAGGGCATTGTTTTAAGGTTATGTTTAATACTGGGGATGAGCAAATGTCAGTGGAAAACTCCAGAATTCAGCTTTAAAAACATGGTGACACACACCTATGATCCCAGCGCTCAGAGAGTTCAAGGTCAGCCTGATCTACAAAGTGAGTTCCAGGAGAGCCAGGGCGGTTATGCAAAGAAATCCTGCCCTGAAAAGAAGAAGAAGAAGAAGAAGAAGAAGAAGAAGAAGAAGAAGAAGAAAACCAACCAACAAACAAAAAGCAAAACATTACAAAGTGTTTTGTATTTTTTTGAGGGGGATGAGCAAGATGGCTTGGTGGGTAACCGTCTTTACCAGCAAGCCTAGCGCCCCGAGTTCAGTCCTCAGGGCACGTGGGGTGGAAAGAGACAACCAACTTCTGCAAGCTGTCCTCTGACTTCCACCCGTACTCCCACCCCCACGAAAGAAACGTAATTTAAGGATGGAAAAAAATTAATAAATTCCCTTTCATGCATATGTACTGGGGAGGTCAGGGATCAGCCTCAGGTGTCGTTCACCTTTATTATTTTAAAGTTTTTTTTTTAATTGTTTTCTGTGTAAGAGTGTGTGGCCGTGAGCGCAGTTGCCTGAGGCGGTCCCTGGAACTGGAGTTGAAACTCCACTGTGTGTTTGTGGGTCCTGGGAATTTGACCCTGGTTCCTTGTGCGAACAGAATGCACTATCTTAACCACTGAGCTATCTCTGCAGCCCTCACCTTAGCTTTGGAGGGCTTCCCCCTTGCTAGGGGCTCACTGCTCAGGCTAAGCCGTCTGGCCAACCAGCCCCAGAGTTCCCCCTGCCTCCGTTTCCCCAGGGCTAGGGTTGCAAGCATGCTCTACCATGCCTGGCTTTTTACATGGATTTGGAGGATCAAACTTGCTTGTGTGGCCAGTGCTCCACTAGAGTCATCTCCCTAGTGAAAGATCCCCGGAGGGTATCTTTCGTCGGAGAGACCCCCTCCCAAAGATCAACGAGCCCAGGCGTTCGGATGCAAACAGCAAGAGGCTTTTATTTTGATACTCGGGTACCCGGGGCGAAAAGTCATTCGGAAGACTTCCGCGCCCCCCAGGTAGAAAGCTGGGGTTTTTATAGGGTTTTAGGGCAGAAGCACTGATACAGAAGCGAGAGGGCATGGTTACAGGGGGCTGATTGGTACATCTTCATGAGACCACGATTTGCGTCAAAGTTTGGCAGGGGCACCAAGATTCCAGGAGCTGGGTGGTCAAGGGGGTTATGATGACCCCCTGACGTGGCCCGCCACCTGTTATTTTGTCTTTTCCCTATCTCAGTTGGAGCAGTCTCTGACAGATGTCTCATGAGGGTGGTCATAACAAGTTGTTTTTAGCTCAATTGGGGCGGCCTGACCACAAATATCCCAAGTGGGTGACACAGCTGGGTGTTTTCAGTAATTTTCCAGTTTCTCATCTGGCCTTCAGAGTTTTACAAAACAGTGGCGTCTCACAAAATGGCGTTAGCTATGTTTAACTCAGGGTGAAGCTGGATCTTTCACTAGCACGTCCACCCAAAAACTAGCTTTTTAAAAAAATTGTTTAATTTTTTTTTTTTTTTTTTTTTTTAATGAGGGATTCACTAGGGAGACCGAGCTGTCCTCGGACTTAGGGGTCTGTAATGTTTCAGCCCCCCAAGGGCTGGGAGTAAAGAATTGCTTTCATTTTTGAGATGGAGTCTCATTCCATAACCTGGCTAGTCCCTCTACAGACCATGCTGGCTTGATCTTACAGCAAACCTCCTGCTTCAGCTTCTCAAGAGCTAGGATGACAGATGTGAGCCATCATGTCTGGCTTAGAACTTAGTAGTTCTAGGTTCTGAGTTCTTAGTTCTAGGCTACCTAGCAAGTCTGAAGCTATCCCCCCAGTGCTGGGGTTAAAGACTTCACCATGCCCAGAATTAGGGGATTTTAAAAAATTACTTTATTTTGATTTTATGTACATTGGTGTTATAGATGGCTATGAGCTGCCATGTGGTTGCTGAGAATTGAACTCGGGTCCTCTGGAAGAGCAGCCAGTGCTCTTAACTGCTGAGCCATCTCTCCAGCCCAAGGGACATTTCTTAATGCCAAGTGCAAAACAAGGGAAATGTCTTGCTTTAATTGCTTTAAAGGGGAGGACTCTCTCTGACTAGAGATACAGCCTTTCCGTAAGGTGAATGTGTATGAGGCTGCTTTGTGCTGGTTTATTGACGGTACTAGACAGGATATATATCCACAAATCAGGCTGCTTTGGGTCTAGCGTTGTCTTGCCCTACCTGGGTCTCCCGTGTCAAAGCAGAGAGCCTGTGTGTCGTCCTAGGGATGGAAGGGAATCTGCAGGTGGGGCTGACCTCAGTGACAGCATCTGCAGCCTAGTCCCAGAGCCTCACACATGTTAGGAGTTGGGCTACTACAGAACTTAATCTTTTTTTTTACCTTCTTTTGAGACAGCCTCTAGACTAAGTTCCCAAGGTGGCCTTGAATTTTCCCCAGTTCTAGGAAGGACTTTTCTGGGCAAGAGAAAAACCTAGCCGTGTTTCTAGGCTGTGGGGAAGGAGGAGCGAGGAGGAATTCTGGCTGACACCATCCCCGGAGCAACAGAAAGGAGCAAAGGAGCTGGGACTGGGTGTGGGTAGAAGCAGGAAGGACAGAGGGCTAGAGTCAGGGCAGAAGGAGGAGAGCTTTCAAGACTGTCAACCATGAGCCTGGGAGACGGCTCACAGTAAAGACACAAGCCTGGTGACCTTGACCCCTGAGACCCACCTGGTGGAAGAGAGAACGGGCTGTTTTATGTATGACCGCCACATGCTGGGGTCGCGTGTATATAAAGTGCACACACAAGCGCACACTCTAAGTGAGTGTTGAAAACCATACCTATCTTTCACAGACGGGAGCTGAGGCCACTAAGTCAGTCTGATGAGACTAGCTCTCGGACAGTGCGTCTCCAAACAAATGATGTCTCATATCTGAGAATACCAAGATTTGCTGTCCCTAGTGCAAACAAGAATACAGCCTTGCACATAGTTTCATTTTCATTTTGTAAATGGTGCCTTAAAGGTGTTTCTGTCCTACCCTCTGATCCGAATCATTTTAGTTACTGTTCATCATTTAAAAACAATGTTCTTGGGTGAGACAGCCGTGGGGCCTTAATTTCCTCTCCACAGAATCTAGGTCCTCCACCCTACCCTGCTCTTCACTTTTATCAGTCCTTGGATGAAGCAGGGTGGAGCAGATCAAGGACTTGGGTTCTTTGGTGTCTTTGGCCTTTGACCTTTCCCTCTTGGATTGCTTGGCTCCAAAACACTTGTCACCCCAAGATAAACAGAGGTATAATGTCACAGGAGATGTTCTGGGGTGCTGTGAAGGCCCACTGAGACTCAGCTTTCATTTGAGTCAGGTGCTGACTGAGTTGGGGGTCTGCAGACACATCCCTTTGATCCTCTCCATTGTGTGGGGCAGGAGTCTTATTGGCTGGGAGACTTCTGGATCATGGTGACCTCACAAAGACTGTAAGGCCAGGCTGGGTTTGGAGGAGCCCAGGTAAGCTGAAAGGTGGCTTTGGGAAAGTACCAAAGGTGGGGTCAGCCTGCCCAGCCTGTCCACAAGGGGCAGTTACTTCCTTGACCCCAACCCCCGCTAGGTAAAAGTCTCCCCGCCTGGCTATAATTCCACAGTTGTTACTTCATACCTTTGGATTAAAGATGAATTTTCTGTTGCCATGTGGATGCCCCAGGTGGAGGTAACACACCCACAGCTCAAGGCTCACAGAAAGCTTAGCTCTCTGTCTCGAGAGCCGAGGGAGGGAAAACAGGGAAGGCAACAGGGAAGAGAATAAGAAGGCCCAGAGGGGATGCCACAGACCTCAGGAGTCGGGCGCAGAGGACCTGGGGCCAGAGCTCCTGCTTTTTCTCATCCGAAGAAGGAGGGTGTGTGGATGGACATTTGTGGAAGGCTGAGTGTAGCCCAAGAGTGGCAGAGGGAATTGGATGTGAATCAGGAAGGCGCTTTTCCCGCTGAGGGAACCCTGGCAATCTCTGTTGCGCTGTGGGGGGAAAATGAGGGTTGAGAAGCC